TCATCAAGCACTTAATTGTGCCATGATCGCTAGATTTCATGTATATGTTATCATTATTTATCATATACTGATTTAATATAGTGATCGGCAACCAAGGGAGCTAACAAATGGAAGTTAATGCCTTCTGCCTTGGCATGACCTCTTATTATTGTACAGGCAATGCAAAGGTAGAGTATGTCAATACTGTCCACTTACAACTCTGTTTTTGCACATTCACATTCAATCTTCCATATTTAATCTTCCTATTTAAGACTAGTAATGCGTAGTTAAATCCTGGTAAATATTCACATTCTTAGTTTTGATATTTTTAGTACTTATTTACTTTGTATTTAATATTATATTGTGTTTAGATTTGCTAACATTGTGTTTTTGTTTTTTTTAACTCATATTGTGTGTTTGGATAACCTGCTGCTGTAACGCCACAATTTTCCCACTTTGGGATCAATAAAGTTAATCTATTCTATACCTTAACTTCCAAATAAGGGTGAAAGGTCATGTTTAAGCTCAAGTTTATTTATGTACATTAATAACCTGATTAAAAAGACAAAGAATTGCCACATGTCCAACATTCTGCCTGGACAACAAAAAGACTTTTAAAGTGATTTTTTTTTCTCAGTTCTGCACTCTGGTGACTTAAACTCTTTTGCCTTGGCATGACGCCTTATTATTGTACAGGCAATGCAACGGCAGAGTATGTCAATACTGTCCATTTACAACTCTGTTTTTGCATATTTGCATTTACAACCATTTACAACTCTGTTTTTGCACATTTACATTCAATCTTCCATATTTAATCTTCCTATTTAAGACTAGTAATGCTTAGTTAAATCCTGGTTGTATATATTCACATTCTGAGTTTTGATATTTTTAGTACTTTGTATTAAATACTATATTATGTTTAGATTTGCTCATATTGTGTGTTTGGATAACCTGCTGCTGTAACGCCACAATTTCCCAGTTTGGGAGCAATAAAGTTAATCTATTCTATACCTTAACTTCCAAATAAGGGTGAAAGGTCATGTTTAAGCTCAATGTACATTAATAACCTGATTAAAAATGTCCAATAGTCTGCAGGGACAACAAAAACACATTTACAGTCCATTTTTTTTCTCAGCACTCTGGTGACTTAAACTCTTTTGCCTTTGCTCGGGCAGAATAATAAACAAAAAAAAACCTGAACTCGTAACAGATCACATCCTCACATGGTTTGTTGTCTCCTTGTCCTTGGGGGTCCCGTCTCGGCTCGGCACTCTTGAAGGGAGCAGGGAGACACCTCTTGCAGAAAGAGTGAAGGCACGGCAGGAGTTTGGGCTCTCGGTTGTGAAAGCTCAACTTGCAGACAGGACAAGTGTCCATCAGCCCGAATGTACCTTTCAGCCTTTCTTCCTCGGCAGGTAAACTTTCTGCCTCGTTCTCCACTATAATGACAATGTCGTCGTTGTCAACATTTTCGCCACTTTCATCCATTTTTTTGTTTATTTTTTCTCCTCGATGTTTCCAAATCAATCAATCAATCAAAATGATCAAATGTGGCGTTACGAATCGAAACAAAAGGATAACCTACACTTAAACTTGACTTGACAAGACATTAAGGAAGCATCAAAAAGGACATTACTCGTTATAACTTTAAAAACATTCCTGTAAACACTAAAAAAAATAAATGTGATTCTTCCGTTTTTTGTAGCTAAATTAGCAACTTAGCTTTCTCATATTTTTAGATATGCTTAGGAACAAAAAAAAAAAACTCATGTTCCCAGGGTTCCTTTCCTCCTTTAAAAATGTGAGAGTGAACGGCAGATACTTACTAATAAATTAAAAAATTACGCTACACGTATAGTATTTTAAATCTTGCACGTCCACTGGAGAGGCGACCATCCGTTAGCTAGCTCAAAACACATACCGTAAATTACCCAGAATGCACTGCCGGTGTTTTAAAGCTACAGCGCCCGTCAAAGGCCAAACTACGTCTATTGTTAAAACGGGCAATTTAAAATGACACATGTCAAGTTTTAAATGTAAGTAGGGGGGACTCAGAGTTTGAATGCTTACAGCTGGATATGTCCATCAATGTTTGAATTTATTAGATTATTGTTTTTTTTAACTCTCTTTAAATGTTATTTGCCAGCCATTGTGGGAGGCTTCTCTTTCTCAAAGGGAGGAGTCAAGCACACATAAGTTTACATGAGACAGAGAAAAAAGTTATTAAGGGAGTCGACTTGGATTGGATAAGATATTTATATAATCTGTTGCTTTGAAAACGGACAGAAGAGAAAGTTGGATTGAGAGAAAGTTCGGAGTCACACTTGCATGGACATGGACTTAACAGCAGAACATCACTCCATACCTCTGAGTGATGGAAACAGCATACCTTTGATAGGACTGGGAACTTATGGTGACCCCCGCACGGTAAGACATATTATTTACTTTCATATAGGACAAATACATAAATAATTTACCTGCATGTCAAATATTAATAATAATAAATTGCATGAAACATGAGTATGTTCTTCCCCCTATAGACTCCCAAAAGGACTGCATATGAATCAGTCAAAGCGGCTATTGAAGCAGGGTACAGACACCTTGATGGAGCTTTGGTTTATTTCAATGAACACGAAGTGGGAGAAGCGATAAGGGACAAAATTGCAGATGGAAGTTTGAAGAGAGAGGACATCTTCTACTGCGGAAAGGTTTGCTACATATCTCAGTGTGTATAAGTGTGTGAAAGGTGAAGTTGACCTTCTTCTCACTGCAAAATTAAGTCAGTGCTACTTTTTTTTTTTTTGGGCTACAAAACTAACACTTTTTGCACTGATATGCAGTTGTGGAACACATTCCATCCTCAGAATTGGTACGGCCTGCTCTGGAGAAAACTTTGAAGGCGTTACAGCTGGATTATGTTGACCTCTATATTATTGAAATGCCCACAGCCTTCAAGGTATTTATGTTTTTAATGTCACATCAACAACATACCTGTTGTGATTGTAATAATTATGTATTTAATTGGATCACTTTTCATAGCTGTGTATTACTATCAAACTAATCCCTGAATATTTGTATTTTCTAAAGCCAGGCGATACATTTTACCCCAGAGATGAGAATGGGAAGTACATTTACCACGAGACAGATCTCTGTGCTACTTGGGAGGTGAGACACTTTAATCATTCGATGTGACAGGCTTGCAGAGAGAAGAACCCTTGTTAGGCATAATGCTGAAGGGTTGGGAGGGGGGGGGAGGGGCTTATAAAACGAACTGACAGCTTGTTCAAAGTTCAAAGTCTAACTTGTTTTCTGACCATGACACCATTTGCAATGAGCAGGCTATGGAGGCTTGCAAAGACGCTGGGCTTGTAAAATCGATTGGTGTGTCCAACTTCAACAAAAGACAGCTGGAGTTGATCTTGAACAAACCTGGGCTGAAACACAAACCTGTGTCAAACCAGGTACATAAGTGAATAATGTATCTTTACATTATTATGCATTATAGGCTAAATAGTAACTTATACAACACCAGGAAGTTTTACCAATACCACTTCAACTATTTGTTTTCTCTTTGTAAAAAAAAAAAAAGGTTGAATGCCACCCATATTACACTCAGCCAAAGCTTCATGAGTACTGCAAGCAGAAGGACATTGTCATTGTGGGATACAGCCCATTGGGGACATCCAGAGATGCATCCTGGTATGAAAGAACTTTTTTTTTTTTTTGTAACTCTCCACTATAAAACATGAACCTTGCCGTGTCATAGTTATACTTTTTTCTCATTTTTACAGGGTGAACCTAAAATGCCCCCCACTGTTGGAGGATGAGCTACTGGTTTCAATTGCTAAAAAATACAACAAGTCCACAGCGCAAGTGGCCTTGAGGTTCAACATGCAGAGAGGAGTGGTGGTCATCCCAAAAAGCTTTAACCCTGTTCGCATTAAGGAGAACTTTCAGGTGAGTTCATTTAGATTAAGTAATACATGCTCTGTACATCCTGCAAATGAGTAATCAAAGAAAAAGAGTTTACACAGCGTGAGATATGTTAACACTGATTTCTTTTCTAAACTGCAGATATTCGACTTCTCTCTCTCCGAGGCTGAGATGAAGGCAATTGAGGGACTGAACAAGAATATTCGATTTGTGGAGCTTCTCATGTAAGTACAGTGCATATAGTGCGATTTATATTCGGTTCCTCTGAAATAAACCACTTAAATAATTTTTTTTTTTTCCATTTCTGACTCAACAGGTGGTCTGATCATCCAGAGTACCCGTTTCATGACGACTACTAGACTCTACAGAAAACTATCGTCAGAGCACTTATGTTACCTGTTGATTAAATTATGTTTTGGATAAAACCGAAAATAATTTGATGCCGCTTTTATTTTATAAGTCAAAGCCCAAAGTTGTATTCCTTGTACGCCTAACATACCCTGAAAATAAAGCTAATGCCAGTTCAGATTGTATATTGTTTTCTCCCTTTGTAAATTATAATAAAAATAATAATAATAACAAAGAGTACGGTTTGGACCTTCTCTTTTTGTAAAGTGTCTTGAGATAATATTTGGTATGAATTGGCGATATACAAATAAAGATTGATTTAGTTAAATTATCTCTTTTTTGTTTCGACAATTGGAAACACTTAAAAAAGAAAATACACACCAATGCATTTCTTTTAGGTGGGATTCCATTGTGCAATTGCCTGATCTAGAGGCCTAAGCAGCAATATTGATTTATTATTAATTTATTTCACATTGTACACAGTGGCAGTACACTGGGGGTCTTCAATAAGCCATAAGGGGTTACAGTATTAAAGAAATGGAACTCAGACATTACTATAGGTTATTAAAGAACTACGCCTTGCATTACGTTCTTTGAATTACATTTATTTGACTGATTTAACGCATAATTGCTGCTTTAATATGCTGTTTATAGCTAAACACATTACTTATCAGACATAAACAGTGCCTTTTTATTAAGTGGTACAAATTTTCTGAATGTCCCTGAAGGCATCACGAAAGCTCACCCAATCTTGCTAGTGGTAGCTAGCACGTTATCTAATACGGATGCATTACTCACAGACGACGTTACAATTTGCGGAAAATGACACCAAGGCAAACGGATACGGTGTTTTTAAAAGTGTTTTTCCTCTGAACACGACTAGCAAACTGCAGCCGCGATGGATTAACCTACTCGGCCGACTTCTCAGCTTAATGTCGTGAACGTCAATGTTAGCTGCGCAACGGGGCTGTGGTAGCTAAGCTGATATTAGCTGCTGGTGCTTCAATGAATGGGGGGGTTGTGGGATGCTTCACACAACAATGTACGCTTGCTAACGCGAGCAATCCTCCTCGTTGTGCTCCAACTTGGCACAAATGCTCGGAGAAGCAGCTGAAGCTTCGCTACGGGACTTTACCAACCGTGGATAACTTTTGTTGAAAATGCATCATCACGAAGAAATCCGGCACTTATCCAGGCACCTAAACGTAGCCGCAGCAGTAGCAGCAGCAGCAGCGTTAGCTTGAAGAATCATAACATTGCAGCCGGCGACTTTTTGTTTTTGCTTTGTGATTCCAAAACTTATTGATTTTTTTTAATTTTTTTTTTAACGCGCATTATCCATGCCTGAAGTCTTTCTGAAGCTGTCGTCTTTGAGCAACACAATGATGGCGTTTCCAGCTGACCCTGCCCTCCGTCCCAGGTAGGGGAGTGGTGGTGAAGACTCCCCCGGCCTTTGCCTGGCCAAGGCCCGCCGATTCCGGATCTGAAAACAACCATCAACCCCTTGTTGTTATATTCATGCATTTACTTTCAAAATCACATTATGATTTTTGGCATCGCGACTGGGATCATTAAAGTGATTTTTGTCGGCGTGGAGATTTGAATTTGAGGGGATCATGGTGGACACGGAAGAAGAAGTGCCCCAGAATTATTGGATGGACTTTTGAGCACACACACACAAAAAAAAAAAAAAAAATACACACATTCATTTTTAGCGCGTTTAATTGTCGGAAGACTTTGTGTTACACTGAACATCACCACAACTATGTCAGCGTTTGCCGAGTTCGTCCCCCCGCCTGAATGTCCTGTTTTTGAGCCGAGTTGGGAGGATTTCTCGGATCCTCTCGGATTCATCAACAAGATCCGTCCAATCGCAGAGAAAACTGGCATCTGCAAGATCCGACCCCCGGAGGTAAAGTGACACATCCCTTCACGCCATTTAACAGACAGCCAAAATACTCACACAGATGGGGCTGCTTTATTTTGGGCCTGTGTGGTTGTTTTTTTTTTTTTTTGTTGCAGCGACATTACCAGTTGCCACTAGTCTAATAGAGGTCAAATAACACCTCATTTATTTTTGCAACTCTGTATTGCGTAATTTGGATTTTAGGTGAAATAGTGGAACATGATTTGTCATAAAAAATAAAGTTTTGCTAAAGCGACATAAACTCATCCGCTCCGCTTTTTTTTTTTTTTTTTTTTTTGACAATTCTTTTGTTTAGTTTTCCTCCTCTGCTTGGCTGAGTGTACAGTTTCAGTGTTTGTACCACGTTAGCTGCGAAGATGCGACATTGGGCTTCACGTAAGGCCCCGTCGTCTAGTCGAAACAATTAATCCATGTCAGTGCTGCTGTGTTATATGTTATATAAATATCCCAATGCATTTTTATTTCTTGGGCTTTTTAACTCTTTTGGATTGTGTTTACATTAAAAAAAAACAAAAAAAAAACATATTTTTTCTGCAAACAATCAGTCGTTATGCACAGAAATAAAGCTTGTCCACCAGTGTGAGTTATGGTGTTTTATTATGAATACCTCTAACCCCTAACCTCCCTTAGATAAGCTCTGCTACATATATTTTTACTTGATCAACACTGATTTAAACCATCTCACAGATTGTTGTACTGTTCTCATTGTGAATGTTGTTTTGATGAGTTCTGATGCCAATGTTTTCTTGTCAATCAGGACTGGCAGCCTCCCTTCGCCTGTGATGTGCGCAACTTCCGCTTCACTCCACGAGTGCAAAGGCTGAATGAGCTCGAGGTGAGTTTGTCAAGAAGACGCACACACTGTCAAATTCTTAGGGAAGGTGTGTCATGGCATTGCTTTTGGGGGTACATCAAAATCATACATTTTAGACTCCTTGGGTAGCCGAATAGTATGCAGTATACCTTGCAGCTGTGGAGAGTTTTTAGTGTTATTTCCTTCTCGTTTTATATTGTTCAGTGCCTTTGCATTAAGTAAGAGAAGTAAGACGGCTGTAGTTTGAAATTCCTAACATTTTCACGTAACAAGAATAGTATGGCTATGTGTCATTAAAGCTATTTTAACCCATTGTTGCCTCATGTGAAAGCTGCATAACAGCAGAAAATCACCCCCCCCCACATGTCCTTCTCATTCTCTGTCCTGCTTTTTCAGGCACTTACCCGGGTTAGGCTCAACTTTCTGGATCAAATTGCGAAGTTCTGGGAGCTGCAGGGATCCAAAATTCGATTCCCCCATGTGGAGAGAAAGGTTCTGGACCTCTATCAGCTCAGCAAGGTAAAAAGAATATGGATATCACTCTCTATGAACGTCTTGCTTTTGCTGATTTTATATGACAATCAATTTAGCCTTTGATTTGTACTTACAGTAACTGTTACGTTTTGAGACTTTAATTTATGCCGGGGAAAAAAAAGCAAATTTTAAAAACGCATTTGTTTCAGATTGTGTCATCAGAGGGAGGCTTCGAGATATTGTGTAAGGAGAAGAGGTGGTCCAAGGTAGCCAGCCGAATGGGCTTCCCCTCAGGCAGAGGAACGGGCTCACTTCTGCGCTCCCACTATGAGAGGATCCTTTACCCGTATGAGCTCTTCCAGTCTGGAGCCACGCTGACTGTGAGTGATGCAGATTAAAAGTCAAACATCTTATTTACCGTAGATGCACACAGTCTATGGTCTCGCACCGGTCGCAGGAAATCGAAGTCGTCACCCGCTCGCTTGTGGGGAATTTTTCTGATGTTTTCCTGCTGTGTTCTCACATCACACGACTTCGAGGAGAAAATTGACAAGGGGGCTCGCAGGAGAAAACTTGACCTGACCAAATTAAATATGTTTCAGCAGATTTTGGGCAAACCTTCACCGTATTATTATCCCCGTTTTTTTTTTTTTTTTTTGTTAAATCCTGAAATGGTTTGCTCTTAGCAGGTTTCCAAATTGATTTTCACCCTCCTCCTTTTTACCAATCAGGGCATCCAGCGACTATATGATGATGGGGATGATGGGGAAGAACTGGATGAGGGCGTTGGTGAGGAGACAGTGGAAGAAGAGGAGCAAGATGAGGAGGTGGAGAGGGAGAAAGATGTGGAGGGTGACGCAACGCAAACCAAAGACCAGCTTCTGCCTGAGAGACGCTCCAGGCGCCTGAAGTCGGAGGTAAATGCAAAGAAGACAAGGAAATGTCATCCAATAATATGCTTAATTTTATATTGTAGTGGAGGAAATTGGGACTAAGGGCATAAGTGTGTACATCCCTAATCAGACTGCCGTTTCAAGCCGTGTTATTTACACTTCTGAGGTTTCGCCTTCCATCTGAATGAGCTGAATGGGGGGGGATGAAGTGATCCACTGTCTGTACCCTCTTCATAGGTAGTAACAGAGGCGTGACAGTATCAGCAGAGCCAGTGGGGGAGTGCAGCGCTGTGTGTGCATGCATGTCTGACTGTGTGTCCATGTGTTTTCCCGCTTTACCGCGCTTCTGCAACGCTGAAGCACTACGTGAATTGACAGAATGGGATTCCAATATCACGCCAAGACGGAATCAATATAAATGTACAAAGACGTGAAAAGACTGAGCTTAGTAACAGCCCTTTTGAGAAATCTAATTGTAATACGCAGTGAGCTATCCTTTACCTTTAAATGAATAACGAATTTGTTTTTTTTATCTTAATATAGAAAACAAATGTATCCTGTGTGTCCTCAGTCTTCCATTGAAGCTCAGTCAGAACATTTATTTTAAAACATTTATTTCCCCCCTTTTGCAGTAAGAATCTCAAGTTACACTTTTAGTAAGATCACTCTTTTTCACGCTCTGCCTTTTCTGTTGTTGCAATGTTTTTGTAGAGAGAAAACAAGGAGCCAAAAGGCCTGAAAATCTTTGGTTCAAGTCCCAAGATGGTTGGATTAGAGATTGTACCAGCCGGTAAGAGTATTTTTTGACACTGAGCAACAAAAAAAAAAAAAAGCGCTGTGTTGCTGCGAGTATTTCTACTCACTCACACTACATTTTTACACATTTTACTTAGATGATGGATTCAACAAGAAGCAGCGTCACCTCAAAGCTCAGGCCTTCGCCATCAAAATGAGACCACGCAAGGAGACCTTAGAGGTCAACTTTGTGAGTGCCAGTTTGTCATCTGCCTAAATGATTCTACCTTTGGTGACTATGGGCATGACCAGCCCTTTTATGTTGTGCTGCACTAACCCCTCAGATCGACCTCTACCTGTGCCTGGTGTGTGGGCGGGGCGACGAAGAGGACCGCCTGCTGTTGTGTGACGGCTGTGATGACAGCTACCACACCTTCTGCCTCATCCCACCCCTACAGGACGTGCCCAAGGGGGACTGGCGCTGCCCTAAGTGTGTAGCTGAGGTAAGGGTTAAACACCACAGACTTATTAATATAATGCACACGAGATGGATTGCTGTTATTCTGAATGGACTGTTTAATTACTTCGCTAACAGGAGTGCAGTAAGCCCAGGGAGGCATTCGGCTTCGAGCAGGCAGTAAGAGAATACACTCTGCAGAGCTTTGGAGAAATGGCCGACCACTTCAAGTCGGACTACTTCAACATGCCTGTTCACGTATGTAAAAAAATAAAATAAAAAATCCTCTCACCGTGCTAGAAAATGTACACAGTCGCAATGGATGTCCATCAAAGTGGCATTTTGATCCTTTTTTGAGATCTATCGTTTACGACTCGTGCTTCCAGATGGTCCCCACGGAGCTGGTGGAGAAGGAGTTCTGGCGCCTGGTCAGCAGCATCGAGGAGGATGTCATCGTGGAGTACGGAGCTGACATCAGCTCCAAGGAAGTGGGCAGCGGATTCCCTGTCAGGGACGGTAAAAGGAGGCTGCTGGGCGATGAAGAGGTGAGAAAGTTGTCGGGTTGCTTTAATTGCCAAATTCTTTGAAAGTGTTGGCTTGACAAGCCTCTTATTTAGATGTCGTTTTCCAAATGGTATTATATCTCACCCAAGTTCATGACTCTTTAGCTGCTCTATCAGAGATTCAGTGATTTACTTTTGATGGAGATTCCCGCCTCACGTACTTTACTTAGTTTGGATTCTTCATTAGATTTCAGTCGAGCATTTATTGTTATTAACGTAAAGTTTCTTAATGATTAAAACATGGAATTGGCCCCTGAAGTGTTTGTTCCCCTCCTCTAATAGGAGTACGCAAACTCAGGCTGGAACCTGAATAACATGCCAGTGCTGGAGCAGTCAGTGCTCACACACATCAACGTGGACATCTCGGGTATGAAGGTGCCCTGGCTCTACGTGGGCATGTGCTTCTCCTCATTCTGCTGGCACATCGAGGACCACTGGAGTTACTCCATCAACTTCCTGCACTGGTGAGACCAGGCCAGCCTTTCATTCAACTTTGACCCCGATAAAAGCGATCCTTGAATGAATGAATGAAACATTTATTGCCCCGAGGGGAATTTGCCTTGCACAGAGGGCATAAAAAAATCGTTGTCTGTCCTGTTAAAAACACATAAAAACACAATCTTACTCATTGAACTGTCCTTTATTCTATTCTGTTTATATGTTGCTCTGTATAAATCCACCAGCTGAGTGTATTTGGTGATAATTAATCTGTTCTGCAGGGGCGAACCAAAGACCTGGTACGGTGTTCCGGCCTCTGCAGCAGAGCAGCTGGAGGCTGTGATGAAAAAACTGGCCCCAGAGCTGTTTGACTCCCAGCCTGACCTCCTGCATCAGCTGGTCACCATCATGAATCCTAATGTCCTCATGGAGCATGGTGTCCCTGTATGTAGTCGGAGCCTTGATTGTTTTAGTCGATATTGGATGTGATTGGATACTGATCATGTTGATTATTTGTCACTTATGTGCCTCTTACTGTTCCTTCAACTCATAGGTGTATAGGACCAATCAGTGTGCAGGGGAGTTTGTGGTGACCTTCCCCAGAGCCTACCACAGCGGTTTCAATCAGGGTTACAACTTTGCAGAGGCAGTGAACTTCTGCACAGCCGACTGGGTGAGAGGGGGGGGGGAAAGCAAAAATCGTCATTACATTTTGAAAAAAAAAAGAATTCTGTTTGAATGTGGGTGCTCATCTGTCACAAACGCCTCTCTCTAGTTACCGATGGGTCGTCAGTGTGTTGCCCATTACAGACGCCTCCATCGCTACTGCGTCTTCTCCCACGAGGAGCTGCTGTGCAAGATGGCTGCCGATCCGGAAAGCCTCGACGTGGAACTGGCCGCAGCCGTCTGCAAGGAAATGGGAGATATGATGGAGGAGGAGACAAAACTAAGACAAGCTGTGCAAGAATCAGTGAGTGTTGTTTTTTTGTTTTTTTTAACGTATTCGCATGTCTTTTCAAATGACAAGATCAATATTTTGGAGTGTTTTTTCAGATGATGTCAGTTCTCGTTCCTCATTATCCTTCATTCCACAGGGGGTTCTGTCCTCAGAGCAGGAGGTTTTTGAACTTTTACCTGACGACGAGCGGCAGTGTTATAAATGTAAGACGACCTGTTTCCTCTCTGCACTGACCTGTTCCTGCAGCCCCGAACGGCTGGTCTGTCTCCACCATGCTGCAGACCTCTGCGACTGTCCACATGGCAACAAGTGCCTTCGGTAAGAGGACTTTAACCAATACCCTCGGGGAAAAAAAAATATAACTTTTAGTTTTCTGCATAAATTGGCCATAAAATGTGTTCTGATCTTCATCTAAGTCACAACAATAGACAAACACAGTCTGCTTAAACTAATACCGCACAAACAATTATATGTTTTTATTGAACACAACATGTAAACATTCACAGCGCAGGGTGGAAAAAGTATGTGAACCCTTGGATTTAATAACTGGTTGACCCTCCTTTGACAGCAATAACCTCAACCAAACGTTTCCCTGTAGTTGCAGATCAGACCTGCACAACGGTCAGGAGGAATTTTGAACCATTCCTCTTCACAAAACTTTTTCAGTTCAGCAATATTCTCGGGATGTCTGGTGTGAATCGCTCTCTTGAGGTCATGCCACAGCATCTCTATCGGGTTGAGGTCAGGACTTGACTGGGCCACTCCAGAAGGCGTATTGTCTTCTGTTGTTGATTTACGTCTGTGCTTTGGGTCGTTGTCCTGTTGCATCACCCATCTTCTGTTGAGCTTCAGTTGGTGGACAGATGGCCTTAAGTTTTCCTGCAAAATGTCTTGATAAACTTGAATTCATGTTTCCGTCGATGATAGCAATCTGTCCAGGCCCTGATGCAGCAAAGCAGCCCCAAATCTTGATGCCCCCTCCACCATACTTCACAGTTGGGATGAGGTTTTGATGTGCTGTGCCTTTCTTTCTCCACACATAGTGTTGTGTGTTCCTTCCAAAGAACTCAACTTGGGTTTCATCTGTCCACAGGATGTTTTGCCAGTAGTGCTGTGGAACATCCAGGTGCTCTTCTGCAAACATCAAACATGCAGCCATGTTTTTCTTGGACAGCAGTGGCTTTCTCCGTGGTGTCCTCACCATGAACTCCATTCTTGTTTAGTGTTTTACGTATCGTAGATTCGTCAGCAGAGATGTTAGCATGTGCCAGAGATTGGTGTAAGTCTTTAGCTGACACTCTAGGATTCTTCTTCACCTCATTGAGCGTTCCGCGCTGTGCTCTTGCAGTCATCTTTACAGGACGGCCATTTCTAGGGAGAGTAGCAACAGTGCTGAACTTTCTCCATTCATAGACAATTTGTCTTACCGTGGACTGATGAACATCAAGGCTTTTAGAGATTCTTTTGTAACCCTTTCCAGCTTCATGCAAGTCAACAATTCTTAATCGTAGGTCTTCTGAGAGCTCTTTTGTGCGAGGCTCGGTTCACATCAGGCAATGCTTCTTGAGAGTAGCAAACTCGAAACTGGAGTGTTTTTTATAGGGCAGGGCAGCTTTAACCAACACCTCCAATCTCGTCTCATTGATTGGACTCCAGGTTGGCTGACTCCTGACTCCAATTAGCTCTTGGAGAAGTCATTAGCCTAGGGGCTCACATACTTTTTCCACCCTGCACTGTGAATGTTTACATGTTGTGTTCAATAAAAACATGAAAACATGTAATTGTTTGTGTGGTATTAGTTTAAGCAGACTGTGTTTGTCTATTGTTGAGACTTAGATGAAGATCAGAACACACTTTATGACCAATTTAATCAGAAAACTAGGAAATTCCAAAGGGTTCACATTCTTATTCCTGCAACTGTATGTGCATTTCATACGTCAGGTATCGCTATGATCTGGAGGAGTTTCCCTCCATGCTATACGGGGTTAAGACGCGGGCCCAGTCGTACGACACCTGGTCCAAAAGGGTCAGCGAGGCCTTGGCTGCCGACCAGAAAAACAAAAAAGGTATTTTTAACATTAGGACTGCTATATGTTGAACAAACTCTAATTGGGGGTTTCTATTGAGGTATCTCCTTGTGCTATTGCATGATTGATCTGTGTTCCTCTTAGATCTTATCGAGCTCAAGGTGTTGCTGGAGGACGCAGAGGACAGGAAGTATCCCGAGAAAGCTTTGTTCCGTCGCCTGAGGGAGATGGTCAAAGAGGCCGAGACGTGCAGCTCTGTAGCTCAGCTGCTCCTCAGCCGCAAGCAGAGGCACAGGTAAGTCCACATGGAAAACCTTTGATTCCATGTAACCCTCATATTATTTATTGATTACTGCATGCACCACAAATGTGTTTTTCTTCAGTCTTCAGACGCCTTTGGTCAACTTTTTAAAGGCTATTTTGTAAAGAAAATAAATATTCATTGGCTCTCTGTGTCATCGATGTCAAACCCTATATAACACTCTCCATATTTAGAATCCCCTTTTCATAATAAAGCACAACAACGTCGCATTTCTTCTTATTATCAAATCAACAATGTATCTGCTCAGGTTAGAATGTGGACTAACCCTGTCCTCTTTTCACCTGCCGCCTGCAGTAGCCGCCTGCGCTCTGAGAGCAGTCGCAACCGTACCAAACTAACCGTGGATGAACTCAAGGCCTTTGTGGATCAGCTCTTCAGACTGCCCTGCATCATCAGCCAGGCCCGACAAGTCAAGGTGAGTCCCCTCCACACCTACGTGCTCACCAAGGCAACCAGTTCAAAATGTTACCTATTAATCTATCATCTTTTCCTTCACTCCTAATGTCTCTGTCCCCTTCAGGAGTTACTGGAGAACGTGGAGGACTTCCATGAGCGAGCCCAGGTGGCGATGTCAGACGAGATGCCTGACTCCTCCAAGCTGCAGGCGCTGTTAGACCTCGGTAGCGGCCTTGACGTTGAGCTGCCAGAGCTGCCCCGCCTTAAACAGGAGCTCCAGCAGGCCCGCTGGCTCGACGAGGTCCGCTCTCACTGATAACACAGATGCAACCAGTTTGTTTGGCTAAGGAGTTACTATGATGGTGGCTTCATGCAACACTTTCTGTCCTCACCATCCCAGGTTCGAATCACCCTCGCTGAGCCTCACCGAGTCACCCTGGAGCTGATGAAGAGGCTGATAGACTCTGGGGTGGGTCTGGCTCCCCACCACGCGGTGGAGAAGGCCATGGCTGAACTGCAAGAGATCCTGACTGTGTCAGAGAGATGGGAAGATAAGGCCCGCGCATGCCTGCAGGCCAGGTAAAGATTCTCACATGTATATACATGCAAACAACATGAAAACTCCAAGTAGCTAATGAGCTAATCATCCCATGCTTTTTGATTCTCTTGTCAAACCCAGGCCTCGACACAGCATGGTGACCTTGGAGAGCATTGTTTTGGAAGCTAGGAACATCCCTGCGTACCTGCCTAATATTTTGGCACTCAGAGAGGCCCTACAGAAGGCAAAGGAGTGGACATGCAAGGTGGACGCCATTCAGGTGCTGTCTTATGTCATTTAAAATCATTCTGTACCCATATATGGAGCTAGATGTCCTTCTGAGGATCTTGCAGTGGCTGAAATATCTGTTAACCTCACACAGAGTGGCAGCAGCTACGCGTACCTGGAGCAGCTCGAGAGCCTGTTGGCGAGAGGTCGCTCCATACCTGTCCGGCTTGATCCTCTGACCCAGGTGGAGTCTCAGGTGGCTGCAGCTCGAGCCTGGAGGGAGAGGACCGGTCGCACCTTCCTCAAGAAGAACTCAACGTACACTCTGCTGCAGGTGGGCCGTCATGGAAGAATGTGATGTTGCTCATAAAACATATTAATGCAATATACATGTTTTTTGGATATCACAAATGGACTCTCACACAACTGTTAAGTGCTTTTTTTTCTTGTACTGGGAGTTTAATATGTCCATTAATAAATACTGTAATAGATCACTGCATCTCTTCTTTTAGGTCCTCAGCCCCCGTTTGGATATCGGAGTCTACGGCAACAGCAAGAGCAAAAGGAAACGCGTGAAGGAGCTCATGGAGAAGGAGAGAGGAGGCTTCGATCCAGACACGCTGAGTGACCTGGAGGACAACCAGGAAGAGGTGCGCGACCCTTCCACTGTTGTCGCAGCCTTCAAAGCCAAAGAGCAAAAAGAAGTGGAGGCCATCCACTCTCTGCGCGCTGCCAATCTCGCCAAGATGGCCATGGCCGACCGCATCGAGGAGGTCAAGTTCTGCTTGTGTCGAAAGACCGCCAGTGGATTTATGTTGCAGTGCGAACTTTGTAAAGACTGGTTCCACGGAGCTTGCGTGCCACTGCCTAAGACGGGAACTCAGAAGAAAGTGGGTGTTGGTTGGCAGAGCAACAGCAAAGACTCTAAATTCCTGTGTCCGCTTTGTCAGCGGTCGAGGAGGCCTAGATTAGAGACCATCCTGTCACTGCTGGTGTCACTTCAAAAGCTGCCGGTGCGTCTGCCCGAAGGGGAAGCCCTCCAGTGTTTGACTGAGAGGGCAATGAGCTGGCAGGTATGTCACCCAGGCCTTCTCAGGTTGCATACGATCCGCTTGCTTTTTTGAGCCCCTGATTTGCTTTTGATCGCGTCTTAACCTCGTCACTTGTCTTCCAGGACCGAGCACGTCAGGCTCTGGCCACGGAGGAGTTGTCCTCAGCGCTGGCAAAGCTGTCTGTGCTGAGCCAGCGCATGGTGGAGCAGGCTGCGAGGGAGAAAACTGAAAAGATAATCAATGCGGAGCTGCAGAAAGCTGCTGCCAACCCTGACCTGCAGGTACTTAAGATTTTAATTTGAATGATTTTTTTTTTTTTTCAGATACAGTACAACATGAGTAGGATTCTAGGAATCTTATTTTGAAGTGCTGTTTGTTACTCGCTTTGATTTTGGTGGCGGGGGGGCTTTGGATGTAAACATGGAATGTACCAGAAGAGGGCAGCATTGTGTAAGTGTAATGTGAGGATGGAAGGGAGTCACGGCAGTCACATGGCTCCATGATTTGTCATGCCTGCAGAATTCCTTTAATAAATTGTGTTCGAACGAGTAAGTGATTTTGTTCTGATCTAGTATTTAATTCCAACTTTTAACTATCCATCCAAAGAAGGTTTTGAATTATGTTGAGAGGTTTGAAGAAGCATTGAAGAAGATACCGTTTTTAGAGTGTAATACACCAAGGACAGGGGTGGGCAACTGGCAGCCCGGGGGCCACATGCGGCCCCCATCAACCCTCAACGTGGCCCTCATATCAATTAATTGGAAACATGAAGAAAGCATGACAAAATCTGCCATGAAATCATGAAGTATGTCCATAATAATATTTGATCACTGGTATATGTTGAGTTAAATTTGAGACATAATTGATTTGAATCGTTTTTTGGAAACTACAATTTGGCCCTCTGGCAGTGAAAGTTAAATTAATGTGGCCCTTGCTGTGGTCCAAGTTGCCCATCCCTGACCCTAGGACATGAGAGGTATTGAATTTGAATGTGTTGTTGCCCTCTCTTCCCAGGGCCACATCCAGACGTTTCAGCAGTCGGGTTTCAGCAGAGCCACATCCCCTCGCCAGTCCGTGGACTACGACGATGAGGAGACGGACTCGGACGAGGACATCAGGGAGACTTACGGTTATGATATGAAGGTAAATGAAGCGGCAGAAAATGTCTTTCTGCTAAGCAGCAAAGCAAAGACGCAAACAGGACTCTTGTTCTTATTCTTCCTTGTTTGTTTTGTGTGGTTTCTTGCAGGACCCAGGCGAGGTGAAGCCCTACCTGTTTTGTGATGAAGAGATTCCTGTTAAGTCTGAGGAGGTGGTGAGTCACATGTGGCCTGCCGCCACGCCCTCATTCTGTGCCGAGCACGCCTACTCTTCAGCCTCCAAGTCTTGTGTGCAAAGTAAGACTGCGTTTATCTTCTAACATGACTTTTGTTGTCTGCCTACCCATCATCCCTTGCTGTTTTTAATGCATTTGTGATTCAAGGATTTTTTTTGAAATGCCGTTTCATAACATTCTCATGCTCGAATTATTTACATTTCAGACATCAGCACTCCCAGGAAGCAGCCCAGGAAGACCCCTCTAATACCTCGCAGCCTGGAGCCGCCCGTGCTGGAGCTTTCCTCGCAGGCCAAGGCCCAGCTGGAGGACCTGATGATGCTGGGAGACCTGCTGGAGGTATCCCTGGACGAGACCCAGCACATCTGGAGGATCCTGCAGGCCACGCACCCGCCCTCCGAGGAGCGGTTCCTGCAGGTCATGGAGGTAGGAAGTCATTCATTATGCAGACTGATTGAGCAGCTAGGACTCATCACTGGGTTTGAGCTGGAATTGTCTCTGGTTGCTAGAAGGTTAAATTAATTATGCATGTCTTCAATAAGAACAGAAACAGTATTAAAGACATTCATCCATACTTCAACTTTCCTTCTTTATCTGCAGCCCGATGACTCGCTAATGGACAAGCCCCTGAAGCTCAAGCTAAAAGATTCAGAGAAGAAGAGGAAAAGGAAGCTAGAAAGAGCCGAGCACCACCACATGATGATGGCTGCAGCAGTCGCCGCAGGTGGAGCTTCTGGAATGGGGGACATGCGACCAGCCAAGTCCAAGGAGCTGAAAAGGGTGGGTCTGGAACTGGGTCTTGGTGGCAAACCCAAGAAGAAGAAACTCAAACTCAACTTGGACAAAAACCGGGAAATGAAGCAGCTGGCTAAACGGTTAGCTAAGGAGGAGAAGGAGAGGAAGAGAAAGGAGAAGGCAGCGGCCAAGGCGGAGGCCATCAGAGAGGGACTAGAGAAGAGGAAGGAGAAGAAGATTCTGGACATTCCCTCAAAGTACGACTGGTCCGGGGCCGAGGACTCCAATGATGAGAATGCTGTGTGTGCAGCCAAAAACTGCCAGAGACCCTGTAAAGATAAGGTGAGCACTGTCATTTTCCTCAACAGTGTGACATATATTTTTTTTTCCCCTCCCAATGTTGTGATTTGGTTGAGAAATGTGTTGTTCCCACTCAAATTTGACCTGAGTGTCCTTACTGGGATTGATGCACACTTCACTGCATCGACAGTTTAGCCATTAACAGAGGTCAGAGGCGACCGTGTGACTGTGGGCCTTCTTCAAACTCAAAGGTCTGCATCTTTGCATCAAGTCTTTATGAGGACTCTGCATGGAAATCATGGTTTATACATGATCGATAACATTTTATAAAACATGATTTAAAAAAAAATAATCTGAACTAATCAAAGCTGTTACAATTAACTATTTTATACAATTTGATCAGCCTGTTTATTCAAATGTCAAAGAGGGGGGGGGGGGGAGCCCATCTCAGTTTCCAAAGCCTCACAAAGCCAAAAGTCACCACTTCACATGTCCAACTTTAGCAGCCAAGACTTAGAAAGACTTTTACATATTATTGACATTTTTTGTAATACAGTGAAAAAAAACTTTAATTTGACAATCTAGAACCAGATCATTACTGGCATTGTATCGTAGAAAACGTTGGAACAACTTACCGTATTTTCCGCACTATAAGGCGCACCTTCAATGAATGGCCTATTTTAGAACTGTTTTCATATATAGGGCGCACCGGATTATAAGGCGCTTAGAATAGAACGTGTTTACAACTGAACAAGGCTGGGAGATATTGTGAATATATAAATATAAATACGTACAAAACTACGTTTTATACGTAGTGCATTCACAATAACTCAACGTTGTTCAAACGTTAATGTGCATATTCACAATATCTCCCAGCCTTGTTCAGTTGTAAACACGTAAAAGAAACACAGTCTGATACCGCTAATTCAAACGTTAGTGCATAACTCAACATTGTTCAGTTATGTATAACACGTAAAGCTCACTTTTTCAGTTCATTCCCCGTCCACGAATCCCTCGAATTCTTCTTCTTCAGTGTCCGAATTGAACAGTTGGGCGAGTACGGCATCCAACATGCCCGGCTCCCTCTCGTCATTATCCGAGTCAGTGTCGCTGAGCGCCGTGTACAACCAGTATGGATCAACCAATTAACCAGTTGATCCATATATAAGGCGCTCCGGATTATAAGGCGCACTGTCGTTTTTTGAGAAAATTAAAGGCTTTTAAGTGCGCCTTATAGTGCGGAAAATACGGTAGTCCATTAAGTTTTCTGTCTATATATACCGTACTTGTCGTTGAATTCATAAAAGGCGTCTGCTCTGACACATTTTTTTCACGTTACAAATGCACTGATAAGAATGAATCTTAAGATATCACACTGATGGAACTAAGAAACTATCGTTCATTTGAAAGTATGAGACAACATTAAAGGAAGAATGTGTGACTTTTTGATCCAGTAGATGTCGCCCTTGAGCACCAGCATTAAACCAAATCAAACCGCTGTTTGGCGACACCTCAAGTTATTCTGAAGCCTCTGCTCTCCTCAAGCCAAAAATTTCCAACCCCTCTCCACTCGCATTCGCACGAAGGAGTTATGAATTAAGCGCAAGTGGCGGAAAATGTCCATTGCTTGAGCTGCCATTGCCTGTGGTCTGCATTGTTGAGTTAGCAGGCTAATGTTAGCACACTTTGGTATATACATTGAAACAGAATGACCGTGATGACACTTATGTGACATCTAAATAAGCAGTGAGTAGGCTACATTATTCTTCTTTTCTCTAGTCCTTGACTAAAACAGCTTTATACACAAGGCCGTCTTGTCCCTGTAAACATGATGTAAACACAGCCCGACAACAACACAGCTGGTGGGACTCAGACTTCTCACTCATTGTAGACAGTCATGACTCAGAGAGATATTTACATATTATACTTTATTTCTGTGTAAAATATTGAGGATATTAAAGGGCCGTGTGTGCGTGTGCATCATTGTGTGTTAGGGCTGCAAAAGGAGGAACGTAATTGGGCAGAGAAAGTGTAAGACGATTTAAGAAGAGAGTGGGCTTGATAAATAAGAAAAAGAGAGTAAGATTATTTAAGCAAGTCGTCTTTCCTACAACCCCTTCCCTCCATTTAAGTTCAGCTAATCTTAGCGAGGTTTTTCATTTAAAGAAATTGGCAAAAATATTTTTCAAAGAAGTAGAGGCCATACAATGTAGATGTTTTTTTTCCAACGGTTTACTCTGTGTTCACTAGCCTCATCAAGTTTGGATTCTCCTGCCGCTGGTATCGTTTTTTAAGTTCATCTTTCATTATCAATCATAAAAACATCTGTGAGTGTTGAAGTCAGGCTAGTTTTTTTTTTTTTATCTTTCTGGTTTCTTCGGGGATGATGGTGATTCTGTCAAAGTTCAGGATATGATTAAGTTTGAATCGTGAATTCTTTGCGAGTGCAGAGAAACAGTGTAGTTGTTTTTGCACAATGTAATCATGGTGACTGACTGTCATTCTGACAACCTCAACTGTCCTTTAAAAGCTCCCTGCCATCCAGAGAGAGGCAGTCAACTCTGGCTCTCTTTCATCACTGTAAGTTCTCCGAACTCGAATCAGCCAGGTGCCAGGTTTTTGTTTTGTAGGCCGGGTTAATAACGAACACTTTTCAAAATGAACATCATGGAACTTTATTGAATATGAACAGCTGATAACAGCACTGGAACACCTTAAAGAGAGTTACACATAACGTATTAACAGAAACACACTGATGTGCTCCTTTTGGGAGACGGCACTGCAGACTGTCCTCCTGGGTTAACCAGTGGCCAGTCTACTTCCCCTCTGCGTGTCCACAGGGCAGCCAATCAGAACCAAGGAACAGGTGGGCCTGCAGATCTGTGGGTGGAGTAGTGATGATGAATTTATGAAAGCAGCTGTGCTAACCTTAACCTAGACTGTCTACACACTGTGTTTGGGAAGATTAACAATTGTAAGGTGTTATTAATGAATTAGTCACAAATTGAGACTTTGCATCCGATACAATCCTCATCTGAAATCGTCAGCTTTGTGCAAAGCAGACCAAAAACAGCAGGTGTGAATACATAAAAATACATTTTATATTTGAATAAATGTTAACCCTTTGATAGACCCTTTTCATGCTTGGTTGAGTCCCAGCTAGGGATACCGGAGTGACAATTAATCACATTTTCATCGCTATCCTGATATGAGCACTTGCAATGAACCAGCCCAAAAAGTCTGAATTGATTTTGCAATTAAAAGGAAGATTATACAATGGTTCCCCTACCATTATATAAGGGGGGCAGCACGCCCCCCCACCCCCCCGAAGGTCAAGTTTTTAAAGATTTATTTTTGGGCTTTTTGGGCCTTTACTGTAGGGATAGGATAGTGGATAGAGTCAGAAATCAGGGAAAGAAGTCATTTAAGGTTACCTTTCCGATAGAAAAGGACAGCTGTCATTAAAGTACACCAAGATTCCTTCAAGTGCTTCTGTCGCCTTGTCGGCTTGTCCCCACCCCCCCAAACGCTTTAAACCTAGGAGAAACACTGTTATATAATAGGGCCTGACCGATATGGGATTTTTGGAGACGATATTGATATTGGGAGAGAAAAAAAATCTGATACTGATGTTTAGCACATGCCAGATTTAGCAGGCATTTAAGGTATGAATGGCTCTATATATGTTCAATCTGTAGAGATTGATACATATATATATAGATATATAGATATACACATGTTTTGCTTGATCTCTCAAATGCAGTTCTCAAACATTGCTTAAGCACGGTACTTTGCTAGTTTGAGTGCGCCCTTAACCCCAATTTGCTCCCACTGCTTTGTCAGCGGAGTCTAAATGTGCATGAATGGGATAAGTTCCATCTGATGGCCACTTTACACAGAAACCTCTCCGTCAGTGTGTGAATGGGAAGGTGTGACCTGCGCTGTAAAAAGCACTTTAGGTTGTCAGAAGACTAAAAAAAAAAAGAGCTATACAAGCCCAAGTCCGTTTAGTTAGTTATAAAAAAAAAACATGAGCCTCTTTAAATGAAGAAGATTGATTTGGCAGTCATGTTGATTTTCTTCATGAAATCTACACAAATCCAAAAGTAGCTGCAGATCAAGAGGAGCAGAGGGCCTTTTAGACGTGGCCCAGTGTTTGTTACCCGACAGGAATTGAGCATACAGTTGTTAGTGGTGTGTAAAACATATCAAAGGGCATTACAGTCCATCCTTGTTTTGGAACCACGTGGCTCTGTTTTCACATTCCATCAATCAAACAATGACTGACTTGCAGCTTTCATGTGACCTGTTAAAAATTACACAAAATCCTGTGTTTTCTTTAGCTGCCACATGTTTTTCTTCTCTTAATTGCTTTAGTATTTCCGTGTCGTTGATCCTCTAAACCCCTCGCTCACATGTCTGCCGGTGTTGTGTCTCCAGGTGGACTGGGTGCAGTGCGACGGCGGCTGCGACGAGTGGTTCCACCAGGTGTGCGTGGGCGTGTCCTGCGAAATGGCCGAGAGCGAGGACTACATCTGCATGGACTGCTCCCGGAAGGCCGCCGGGGTCAGCGTGGGCGGCGTAGGGATGACCGTGGAGGAGGTGGTGGCGACCGAGGAGAGCGTCGTGGTGATGGCGACGTCGATGTGCGGCGGGGGCGCGCAGAGTCTTCTTCCGGGGTCTGTCGTGACCTCGTGGTCCTCCTCTGCTCATCTTAACCCAGCAATGACTCATCAGCAGGAGCCTCAGCCGGGCAGTTAGCACTAAAAAAACAACAAAAAAAACAATGCCTAGGACTGAGATTGAATACTGTACCTCATATAATGAGCATCCCACAAAACCTAGACTCCAGGCTAGAGCTCTAACCTCCCAAACTGACTCTACAGCCTCTGGGGGGGGGTCAGAAAGGGATAAAGCAACCTTTTTTTTAAACGAGCCCTGAAGGAGAGACAAATAACACGACCTTCGGATTTAAGAGCACAAGCAGAAAGAGTAAAAGAGAATTTGTATGCAGGAGACGGAGAAGACGAGAGTCCTACTGTCACCGTGTGGCTTCAGAAATGACACCCTTCCTCCCCGAGCACTGCCATACATTGACATGGTTCTGATTACACAGACAAAGTGAAGTCCTGCTGCAAACAGTCTCAGGGGCAAAACATTCACCTGCCACTTCCTGGTCCACCCCCTGAACAATAAACAAGTCATGGTACACTTACTTATAGTCAAACAAACACCCTCTTAGTCCAGCTGTTGTGTTCAGTGCAAACAGGTAGATAAACAGACGTGTCATCCCTGTTGTGTCATAAATGGACATCCTGAGCCGCTCTCATCTCGCCCATCTCTCTCCCCAGCACTGCAGACAGTAACAAGTCAATATGTAGGAGTCCAGACTAGGAAATACAAATGGCTGTAATGTAGTGGAATTATTTATAATGTACATACTTTTAAGCAATTAAAAGAAATGGATTGTGGCTTTTTTTTCTCACCTTTAATAAACTATTCCTAGTCAAATGATTGTAAAGTCTGGCGTCTTTTCTTTATGTGTTACCGCTCTTTTTATTTCTTTTTTTTTTTTGGGGGGGGGGGCTATTTGCTTTGTCTTAAGTATTTTTGATTCATTTTTCATAAAAGAATGACATTTATTTGTTCTTTAGCTCACACGTGTAACCAGACCAACATATTCTTGCAAACTTACTGAAGTTTTGCTGAATTATGAATGTTTCAAATGCAAAAAAAAAAAAAAAAAGTTGCTTTTGTGTATTTTACATGACTGTAATGTCAAAATTTGACCCCCCAATCATCCTGAAAGAAGCTGATTATAAGTGGCAAGTTAAGCTTCTCATTTCCTGTCTCACTCATTAAGCTCAATTAGAGGAGAGATGTGGAGGCATGTTGTGCAAGTCTGGTATGAGGACTTGCATGGGGGAGCGCTCGGTAATAAGGCTGCAAATACTGCTGCATTGCACAAAATGTTTGTAATAATTAACACATTAACCAATTTTTTTATTTTTCATTTGGGCATCCTTATTTACATTTTTTTGACATAGCCTCCCAGTTTTCTTGTTGGGATGAAAAGCAACAATTTGACTGTAATTATACAAGAATATCTGCTTTTCTGGAAACATGACTCAATCGCTAAGGAGAGAGCGGAGGGTAGGATTGTGGAGGGCGCTGGGGCAGTGTGTGTGTGTGCTGATGTCCACTTCTTACTCAGCCGAGTCAAATCCGGAGCGATCTGACCTTAGCCGCTTTTGTGCCTCACCTCTGTCACCACGACAGTCAGAGGTAGAAATATGTGATCACAAGGGGGGGGGGTGCAAAACATTTACAAAATGAACTGTAATAATCCATTATATAACATCTGCTCAGTTGTCTTATTATGCCGATACAACAGGGACTCTCAAATATTTAGTAGTTGAACAAACTTTTCAAAATCAGATCTATAGTAGATTGTTTCTCTGCTTTTGTTCTCTGTGATTTTTTTCCAACAGAAAACAGACTGTGCAGGCTTCCTCTCACCATTAGTTCCTCTGCTAGGTGACCATACAGAGAAGTAAAAGCAGCAACCTGATGCACATGTATGTCTTTGTTAGAGTTATTTAGCAGATTTCCGTCGGTGTTTGCACACTGATTCCTCTGATTTTCACAATTTCCCTGCTGCCATAATCCTCTCAGGCTGTCATAAATCATGTTAACGTAAAGTGTAGACTTTCTTTGTTCTGATTTATACCTTGGCCTTTTTTTTTTTTTTACCTTAGACATAAAATCAGGACATGCTGCATTGCTTCAAAGACATATTAAAACCCAAAATGTATTGTAAGAAAGCTTTTTCCTTCATCAAATTGAAAATATTGTAAATCTGCCCATGCCATCCTTAATGGGAGACACATTTCAAATACATCATTTACTGTCCACTGCACCAGATTCACTGATCACATACTGTCAGCCTGTTCCACTTCTCTGCTGCACCTCATTTAAATGGGTGAGTCAGGGCAGGTGATGTACTTTGCTCAAATGGAGGGAGAGAAAGAAAGTAATAATAATTATGATAACTTTATTTATATAGCACCTTTTAAAAACACAGGTTTACAAAGTGCTTTGACAAACAGCAAAAACAAGAACAAACTAAACCAAACACAGAAGAACATAAACAACAGCAAGAACATAACAAATGCAAAATATAAAAAATAATTAATTAAAATTCAACAGAAAAGAACCAAAAGTGCACGATACCCAACAGACATATATAACCCGACGTTCACAAGAAGCATCATAAGAACCCAGGCAACACAAGAACCCAACAACAAGAGCTGAGACCAAGAGGAGCAAAGATTTAAAAAGATGTAAGAAACTAAAAGAGCTGAAAGCAAATAAAAAGATAACAGCAATAAGAAGGTAAGAGCAGTAAAAGAAATAGAAACAAGTGGTTAAAGGATAAACAAAAACTATAATATTCATAAAAATAAAAAGTAAATATAAATATGAAACATAAATAGACAAAGTAAGATAAGAAATTACAAAGTTAAAACATAAGAGGATTTAAGATTAGAGCATAAATAAAGAGCATAAATAAAAGGACAGAAGTAAAAGAAGATAAAAATAGTAAAACTAGTAAGAAAAGACATTAAGAAGACGACATCAGAAGTCTGTAAAAGTACGTTTTAAGAAGGGATTTAAAAGAATTGAGGGAATCTGCAAGTCTTATCTCCTCAGGGAGGTCGTTCCAAAGTCCAGGGGCCTTGACTGAAAAGGCCTGGTCACCTTTAGTTTTAAGTCTCGACATTGGAACGACCAGGAGGCCCCCTACCTGAGGATCTAAGACTGCAGGCTGGCTCATACTGTGTCAGTAGCTCTGTTACATAGCTTGGAGCGTCCGTGCTTTAAAAGTAATGAGCAAAATCTTAAAAATCGATTCTAAAACTTACAGGAAGCCAATGTAATGAAGCTAAAATTGGAGTGATGTGATGTCGTCTGTCACAACCAGTAAGAAGCCTAGCTGCTGCATTTTGGACTGGAAAGTGGAGGCTGGCCTAAGTTTAGCATTACAAACCCCCGCCCCTCACTCTTGTCATGTTAAATACTAAAACTTGAGCATTTAGTGAGAAATCTGCAGAGACTTGAGAGACGAGAGTTATACACAGGAGATCAGAGTGACACTGCAATGAAAGGTGAGCTATAAACATCATTTCAATTCCTGTTTATGGAGATTGGCAATTATGACTATTTTCTGTTCTTTTAATATTTTAAAACCTTCTTTGTTTAGGCTTAGGATAAGGATTCATTGCAACTTACTGAAATGCAAACAGAGCTTCAAATGTGTCTTTAAATTTGTGTTTTAGATGGATTGAGCATGCATGTTTGTTTATCTTTACAATATTAAACATTCAAATTTTATACAAGCATCGTGGAAAAACATCTTCCCACTGTTTCCTTACTGCTTAAGGGCATCATTTATTACAATTCTAAGCAGCCTCTGCATCTTGCCTCTCCTGTCTGTTTTGCAGGAGACGCTGCCAAAGCAGGCCTCCCGAATGGCACCAGACAAGCAAAGGACCTTCTGCCCACCTCGGAGGAGAAGATGGAGGAGCGGGGCCAGTGGGGGAACAAGGTGGAGTTCATTTTGTCAGTCGCCGGCTCCATCATCGGCCTGGGAAACATGTGGCGCTTCCCTTATCTCTGCTACAAGAACGGAGGAGGTGAGTGGAGTATTAGACTGACGCTGAAGACATTCATGGTTGGTCCTATGCGGATTTATAAATCAATGTCAGCAATGACAGACGGACCGAAACCTTTCAAACACAGATTTGCATAAGCCATGTGCGTAGTTTACTTGTAAGCCAGACTTAAAGAATTCAGAGCTGTTCTAGTACATTTATACATTCAACCATGCAGTATTTTTAATTCATTAAAACCCTGAGGAATCAAAGGAAAGAAGAAGAAAAAAAAAGTCAATGACAGAGCACAGGTTTCTCTCAGGGACACTTGAGCTCAGGTAAAAGAAATACAATTCCAAGGACTCACAATTTAACTAAAAACAGACAAATCATTTCTCCCCTCATTAGCTGTCAGGCATGCTTGTGTAGCTGCTAAATTAGAGACCCCTCTTCCTCCCTCTGTGGGGCAGCAGGGTCAGGGGTCCGGGATCGAGCGGGGTCAGGCAGCTGTTGTTGCTCCTTGCTCACAGCAGCTGTCCCGGCAGAGAGGCGGAAATCTGAGTGGGTCAAACATCCCGGGCCACCCGATGGGGATGACGACCAGACGAAAAAAAAAAAAAAAAGGCAAAAGAGAGTGGCAGTGGCTCGGGCCTTAAGTGGCCAAAACTGAAGAAAAAAAAAAGAATATTTATTTATTTCGTCTTAACGCACCTCATACCTTTGAGCTCTTATTTTCATCAAGATTTAGAATACAGCCTTAGTGCAGTTTTTTTTCTAACAAGCATAGAAGTGTCATTTATTATTCTGTGATTTTTAGACCTGGACCAGATAGTTTTTAGTTGTCTGCAAGATATTCCACATGCAGGGAGCTTCTTGTGACTTTGTCCTTTCTGTAGCTGCAGTCTGGATTTGTTTGCTAACTGCACAAGCACCCTGGTGAAAATACACTTCTGGAGTATTAGAGCGCTGCAGTGTGCGAGCCTCACAAGAGAGCCATTTGCTGTGTGAAGGATTTAGCTGAATGGTCTTCTCTAAATGTTCAGATTTCCCATCAAAGACACACCAGTAAGATGGATTGGAAGCTTTTAATATATCAGTGGAAGATTTTTTTTTTTGCAAATGCATGCTTGGCCAGGCTTCCATCGTCATGCATTGCAAACACTGATAGAGGCAAAAGACTGCAGCCAGCCAGACAGACAGAGATGGTCCACCATTTTCAGCATTTTTCTGTAGTATCATGTTTAAATGGTCCCCAACCTTGAATCTGTTGGATGTCTTTGACTCAGGTGCATTCCTCATCCCCTACATGATCTTCCTGTTCACCTGTGGCGTTCCTGTATTCTTCCTGGAGACGGCACTGGGCCAGTACACCAGCGAGGGAGGCGTCACCTGCTGGAGGAAGATCAGCCCCTTGTTTGAAGGTAGGTCGGGTCGGGGGAAACGAAAAGCAACTTTTTGTGACGACAAAACATGTTTTCATTTACAAAATGAAAACATGAGAATCGTTTCTTTCTATTCATCATTAATGACATGTGCTCTTATTCTGCAGGGCTTGGCTATGGCACACAGGTGATAGTGACTCTGTTGAACTTCTACTACATCATCGTTCTGGCCTGGGGGATTTTCTACCTGTCTTTCTCCTTCTCCTGGGACCTGGCCTGGTCCTCCTGCAACAACACATGGAACACAGGTAACATAATGTGTTCGTAAGTGCGGTGCATGAAAAGTTTGTTTCATTTTTAAAAAATAAAGAACCAAAAAGACATTGTGGTTCTTTTTCCGCGCAGAAAATTGTGTGGAGTTCCAGAGGAGAAACACCTCATTCAACCAAACAATCAACCTAAATGCCACCTCTCCTGTC